TCTGTGCAGCATTTGTAGTTCTAGAGTTTGGTTCTGTGGGAGGTCGTCTGCAGAGAACTAGCCCATGGGCTGCAGCTGCGCTGTGCTGCTGTGCTGCTGTTCGTTGCTGCTGTGCCTCTGGTTGCTGCTGCTGTGCTGCTTGTTGCCGCTGTTGTGCTGCTTGCCATTGCTGCTGCGCTGCTTGCTGCTGCTGCTGTGCTTGCCGTTGCTGCTGTGCTGCTTGCTGCTGCTGCTGCGCTGCTTGTGATTGCTGCCGCGCTGCTTGCTGCTGCTGCTGCGCTGCTGCAGACTCGACGGGTTCCGGCTGGAAGGCGTGCCGTGGATGCTGTACGACCAGCGAAGCGTGCTGCGGCAGCCCGAACTGTACGACTACGGGGCTTACCTGAGTCGGGACTTGTGCGCGTCGGGGGTGTTGTACTTGGCGCTGGCGAACTCGCTGTTGGCTGCGCTGCTGCCGGAGGACCAGCGGCTCTCGATCGCCCAGGAATGCACAGGATACCCCACACTGTGCAGACCAGTGGCCCAGGGGGGCCTCGGCTTCGACTACCGCCTCGACAGCTCTCTCAGCCAGAGCCTCCGCCGCCTCATTCGCCAGTCCGGCCGCCGCCACGGCCGGTGGATGACTGCCCAGGTCCTCTGGGCACTCGCCAACAAACCCAACACGGAAAAACTTTTGGTTTCGGTCGACGACGCCGACACCACCAGGGTCTGCAGGAGGTGAGGGACCCTCCCCAGTGGCTAGCTCAAGTCTAGGGGGGCGGGGCAGCTAGCTAGCTGGGCAGCTAGCTAGCTGGACAGCTAGCTAGCTCTGTCTCGCCTGCCGTGCGCACTGTAGGGGGCAGCTCGCTGGCCCTAGGGGAGAAGCCGCGCGGCCGTGCTGCTGTTGCTGCTACTTCTGCTGCTGTCGGTGTTGCTGGGTGCTGTTGCTGGGTGCTGGTGCTTCTGCTGCTGCTGGCTGTTGCTGCTGCTGGCCGATGGCGCTGCTGGTGCGTGCTTCGGCTTTGCTTCGCAGACGCCTGAAAATCGCGCTGTTTGCGTGGGAGTCGCTGCATACCCACGCGGTGGGGGGGGTGGCTCCCCACGTGACGGAGTTGGCCGCGGGCCTGTCTCGCCAGGGCCACGAAGTTCACGTTTTTGTGAGGGCAATGGAGTCTTGTGGGGGCTGTTCAGAGCACTACGGCGTGATGTACCACGAATGCACTTTCGACTTGGACCGGGACTTCGTGGTGGAGATTCAAAACATGTGCGAAAGCTTTATTGCATGCATGCTGAGCGTCGAAGAGGCCATGGGCACGGAGTTCGAGATCTGCCACGCACACGACTGGCTCGCGGGCCGCGCCCTCATCCGGGCCAAACAAATGGCAAGTTTTGGGCTCTTCTGTAAAGTTCCTGGCTCTATTCCCGAGAGACTTTGCATTTCTTTGTTAGGAAGAATGGCCTAATCAGTGCAATCTGCGGGAGCGGCGGGCTCCTCTTTTCTGGGTTTTGCAAAACCCGTGTCAGTGACGGCTTTCTGCTGCGCTGTGGCGGGTCTGCAGGGGAGAACTGCCATTCTTACGATGCACTCCACGGAATTTGGCCGCTGCGGCAACAACAACTACGGCGGGGTGTCGAAGAGGATTCGAGACATTGAGGGTTAGTTCGTAGCTGCGGTCGTGCTGCTGCTTTTGCTGCTGCTTCTGCTCACTAGTGGACTTAGTATGAACTTCCTCTTGTGTCAGTCTGGGTTTCTTGGCCCCAACAAAGCCCCACTTGTGTGCATGCGCTCCACTGTCTGTCTCCCAAAGGGAAAGGGAGTTAAGGAGCCAGCGGCGGAGTCGAAGCGTGTCGGTGTTGTAAGTGCTGTTCGGCGTTCTGGGTTTCTGGGGCTTTCTTATTTGTCTGCTATTTGTCTGCTTCTCGCCTGCGGCCTGCTGCAGCGGAAGCTTGCCACTTGGCGGACCGCGTGATCTGTGTGAGTGGAGTGCTGGCCGAGGAAGTGCGAGCGCAGTACGGAGTCCACCCCGCGAAGATGACTGTCATTTATAACGGCATAAACTGCAACAAGTTTGACGGCGAGGTTGACCCAGGCGCTGTGAAACACACTTACGGGGTCGGGGCTCTGGACCCCATGTTCTTGTTTGTGGGTGAGAACGCCTTAGTCGCCACCAGCCCATCTAGACTCAGTCTGTCCTGTGCAGTCTGAAGCAGCAGCAGTACATCTGCCTTCTTTTATCTCGAGCAGCTGAGCAGCACCCTCGGTGGTTCCGTGACACAACGTAAACGAATCATGTTGCTGTGATCTGGCGGGGCTCTTACTATCGAACATTTGACGGAAGGAGTCCATTTTGCCCTTCCCACCTGGCAGTTTGTCATGTGAAGTTTACATGCTTTTTGTTGCTAGCAGTGTTGCCTCGGGATAAGCAGCTGCTACTGGTTCGTGTGAGGCTCACAGGGAGGATGGTGGTCCAGAAGGGTCCGGATCTGCTGTTAGAAGCAGTGCCTTTTATCCACAAGTTCCGAGGCGATGCCAAGTTTGTCTTTGTGGGGGACGGCCACATGATGGAGAGTCTCAAGGGCCGCGCAGCTCAGCTGGGCGTGACTCATTCAGGTACTTCCACCTTTCCATCTGCAGATGCTCATTTTGCCACTTTGCCTTGCTGCTTCGTTGTGCCAGCTGACTCGCACTAGCTTATTCTTCCTGCCGGCTTCTATGGGCTGTGGGGCCCCGCTGTGGGGCCCCGCTGCTGCCACGCAAATGCATGCGTGGCAGATGCAGCTGCTGGCCGTTTGTGTTCGCCTGCGTGTTTAGTGCGCTTTGTGGGCAAAATGGGAGGCGGGGCCCTGCATGCGCTTTTCAAGTCCTGCGACGCGGTGGTCGTCCCTTCGAGAAACGAGCCTTTCGGCATTGTGGTCTTGGAGGCCTGGAGCGCCTCCAAGCCCGTCGTTGCCACCAACAGTGGAGGACCCAGGGACTTCGTCAACCCCAACATTACAGGCATTCTTGTGGTGAGTTTGCAGCCTTTGCCTCCAATTGGTTTTTCTCCCAGTGCCGCTGGGTCGTGGAACAGAGCTGCATCACAGGAAAGAGGTCCAAAAATGACTTTGACAGCAGAGACGGGGCAAGTTTAGACTCGCGGGACTGTTTGTGGGGTGCAGGATTTGCTCCACTTTGCTTTTTCCTTCCCCGGATCTGCGTGTTGTGGTGCCGCTCACTCTTCCCATTTTGACGTTCCTGTATGCCTGCCTCTCCAAAAAAGCTGCATTTTCACCTGTGGTGTTTTAGCTCATCTTTGCACTTATTGGCTCGCAGGATCCAACTCCTGGAAGCATTGCTTGGGGCTGTTGCGAGATTCTGAAGAACTTCGAACATGCGCGGTGGATGGGTTCTAGGGGCCGCGTCACTGCCGCCTTCAGCTTCAGCTGGGATTCCATAGCGCAGCAGACACGGGAGATTTACTACGAGCAGCGCAACAAGCATGACACCCCCCCTAACTGGACCTACAGCAGTGAAGGCGACGAAACGCTCGCTTTCGCGCTTATTGGACCAGTTAGGCTTTTTCCGACTGCAGTCATAGGCGCCTCGACATTATTGCATTCGACTCAACGTTTCTTAGGCAGCCCTATTAGTTCTTATTCTTATATTGTTTGTTTCTGGCAGTTTTCCCTTTTCTTTGGTGGTGGCATTATGAGCGGTTTTTCGGGTCTTCCCACTGTGTCTTTCTGCCAGCCATATTCTTCCGTTCTGCCTTGCATTTGTGTCTTCTTCCGTCTTATTAGTTCGTTTGCTCATGTTATTTCCTGTCTTCTGTTTGCGTTTGCGTTTCTGTGCGTTGCAGGCAATGTATGAACACATGTCAGTGGAGGACTGCGACCCCCACGTGGTCAGCGGCCTCGCGCTGTGGCGGCTGTACCGCCTGCTGGGTTCGGGCCTGGCGGACGGCCGGGTGAACTTCATGGCGAACGAGTTCGCGCATCCCGACGGCCTGGACCTGCCGCGGCCGGCCAACCACTTTTCTATGGCGAAGGCCTTCAGGCGCTGGAACCTCGCAGAAAGCCCAGCCCTCAAGTTCACCCAGTGCGAGGTCAGGCCTTCTCTCCCCCCTGTGCACTTTGGACTACTTTTGGAACTGCCGATTTTATTCATATATGCTTAACGAGCAGCAGCGCTAGAGACAAGACGCAACAGAGAGAGGGAGCCAGGAGGCTGTGTACTGTTTCTGGCTCCCTTACTAGTGATGCTGGTTTGCTGTCGCTGGTGTTTTCTGTCCGCGCAGCTTTTCGACTCCTGCCTCAACCACTGGGAAAGCGTATTCCGCTGGCAGTCGGCCGCCCATCTTTATGTCGTCAAGTGCGATGAGGAGGCCCAGGTGGTTGTTTTAGAACGAGGGTCCTGCCTGTTTGCATTCAATTTCCACCCTCACAATGTGAGCACCACTTCACAATAGCCAGTGTGAAGGAGTCCAGAGTATGGTGCAGCAGCAGGCAACAGCTGCAGCTCTTTTGCAGTTTTTGCCCCACTTTAAAGCCACCCTCATTCTCTCCACCTGTTGTGTAAGACACATTGTTGATTTGTTGAATCTGATGGGCCGTTGAACATAAGTTGTGTGTGTGCGCGCACCTGTAGAGCTACGAGGGCTTCCATGTCGGGTGTATGTACAACGAGCCTATGCGGCTTTTCCTCGACAGCGACGAAAGCCGGTTTGGAGGATTTGGCCGACTCGCGCCGAGAACGCAACACCCAGCAACCGAAGCTAAGGACAGCCGCCCTCACTCTGTCCGGATTTACCTCCCCTCAAGCACTTGTGCAGTTTACGTCCGCGAGTCGGTTTACTGCGAAAAACAGCCAGAAATCATGGCCACGCCGGTACGGCCAGGGAACCTTGGTCCTTCTTCAAGTGTTTAAATGCCACCCACCTTGCTTTTGCCTTGCCCTCCTGAGCCTCTGCGCTTCAGCCTTATCCTGCTGCCTTTCTTACGCCCTTTTTGCGCGTCTTGAACAAGAAGCTGTACAGTCTTCAGCTTTAGCTGGCAATCAAGGCTTCCCTTGAGCTCGCCGTGAAGTGCAATTCGTTGTCTTTTCTGGAAATGCAGGTCCTGTCAATGCATCCGGAGGCGTATGTGGACTACCGCAAAGCGGACAGGAGCTGGAAGAATTGACACTACAATGACACACAAGCAGATCGACTCCGGGCAACGGACCCGGCGTGCGGGGCACAAGTACCATTTTAACTGCTTGTGGATGCACAGCCACGCTGTGACATCAATCTTGCGTTAGCTGCTGCGGCGCTAACCTATTTAATCAGCTGGTTAGGCTCTCGGGCTGTTCCTGCTTCGACAGGCCTTCCTGGGTGTTTTCCGTTTCTTGCCTGGGCAGTGCGCTTGCATGAATGCATGCGCGTGAAGACCAGTCTTTAGTCTGCCAGCTTATTTGGAGCATGTGCTCATGCACAGCAACTGAAACGTTTCCTAGTTAGCTTCCGACACACAACCTGGCATATCTTTACTTCTTGCCCCTCTACTGAGGGGAGCTTCCCTCCCGAAGCTCCCCTCAGTAGAGGGGCTAGAAGTAAAGATATGCCAGGCTGCATGTTCACGCAGCAGACAAAAAGACGAAGGGCACGGGGACAAGCTGGTGTCAGGAAACACCAGCCACTCGCAAATGTTTCCCTCGAGATACCTCCATAGGGTTACGATTGTGGCATGTGGGCGTATTACAAGATACCGTAGACATGATACCTTTAGGTTTGCATAGACTGAGAGCTCCTGGCAATTCGATACGTTCGGAGTAACGGCCTCAGGAGTGGCCTGTCGAGGCCTGCCCTTAAGAGCTCACCCGCCGCAGCTCCCGCTTCGTCAGGCATACGTTAGGCTCCGGGCCGTTTGCCCCACCCCTTCATTTTGCTTTTTGCATCTGTTACGTTCTTGTGTCGAGATAACGCTGAGGTTACTCAAAGCCCGCCGCTGAATTGCATACGAACGAAGGCTACGGAAGGGGTCTCGCGTGCAGTTGCTATTCCATTTGGTTTAAACATCAATTGTCTTTCGCTGCATACTATATAGAAAGTTGTGCGGAAGAACAGATTGGACCCAGGAGGTGCTAGTGAGTTACATGCCCAATGGTCAGACCGCTGGAGTAGCCACTGCTACAGTTGAACGGTAGGTGCCAAGCCACCGGCCAACGCTAATGGGTGTCACTTCTCCTAGTTTTAACTGCATACACTCAATCCTCTATTAGTTTTATTTTATCAAATTAATGGAGGGGCTGTCAACAACAGGGTCGCTTTCATTTCTTATTAGAACAGCAGGTAACACGAGGGCTTTGTCCAGAGGCCCTCGTGGTGACCCCACGTGTTACCTTCATATGCCCCCTACCAGAGTGCCTACAGGTAAAGTTAGGCGCCAAAATATAGAGGCTTGACAGATGTGGCTCCTGAGTACTCTGGGGGTTTATTATTTTGCTCAGGCTGCCATTATACCGTGCGGACAATGCAGACCAATTGTGTCGAAATGCCTCTAGATGCAATACATGTAACCCCCCGTCTTTTAAGTCCTTCCCTCCGCTGCATTGTCCACACCATTTTCATGCTGCGCCTCCCCCACGACTCATCCCCAGGTGAAGAAGACTTCCACTCCACGAACAGAAGTCCCCATGTTCCCCAGCCACCGCTCGCCGCTGCGTCGAGCAGAAAGTACCAGACGCATGCAGAGACCAGGGAAAAAGCAAAAGTGGGATCTACTTCAGAAGCGGCGGCGGCATCGAGGCTACACAGGGGCGCAGACCGCGCACAACGAAGAGGCCCCTCATCTCTGTGTGCTTCCCCATCCACCAACAGAAGCAACAGCATGGAAAAAAGAAGCAACAGGAACAGCGCCATGGTAGATTTGCAGCTGCATGGGTACCCAAAGGGCTCTTCTCTTTTAGAAGTAAACCCCGACGAGCTGAAATGGCCAAGAGGGTCCCACGCAAAGGCTCCAGAAGGGCCGCAGGGCATAGGAGATGCGCTCCAAAGGCTTCCTAAAGGCGGCGGCAGCAACTGCAGGAGCAGCTGCAGTAGCAGCAGCAGTGGCAACAGCTCCAGCAGCAGCAACAGCGGTAGCAGCAGCAGCTGTAACAAGAATGTCAGCGGCAGGTGCAGCTGCACTGGTGGCCATCCATCAGGAAGAGGTCCTGTTGACTTACGCCTACATCCACATGCCTCTCCCCCCCTTTCACTGATTTACTTGCGTCTTTGTGAAGCCCCCCATCTGACAGAAGAAGTGGAGCGGAAACTACGGGCATTTACAGGTCCTTCAGACCACCAACTGAAGTGAATCAGCAGGCTAATAGGCATGGAAAGAAAACGGCAGCGAATGGTTTAGAATTCGCTCTCAGGGGTTTCTGCTGTCCTTGTTGTTGCTGCTGCTGCTGTTAACTGCTTCGCCGTTGCCTCTACCTTTTGCTAAGAGTATTGTTGTGCTGAGCTGCTTTCCACTGCAGGGATTGTGGAGAGCAGTGCTGGCCTACAGCAGCAGCAGCAGCAGGCTGCGTACACACTGGCGGTCGTACTGTACATACAGCGGCCAAAGGCCTTCGGTTTCCTTCCCTCTTCCGTCGAAAGAGTGTCTTTTGAACGGTGGTTACTGCCTATCTCGATTTGTTGGTGCACGCAGAGCTGCAGCAGTTGCTGTTACAGCCGCAGCAAAGTGGGAACAAGTGAGCTTCACGAGCGCAGCAGCAGCTGCTGCTGCGGCACGACACAGTGCTGTCAGGCGAGACAAATAGGTTCCCGGCGATCGTGCAATCTCGCTGCAGCAGCAAGCGAGGAAGCCCCAGCACCAGGTTCTGCCTGTAGGAAGCAACATGCGCAGCAGCGTTCCTCCCAGTACCTGCCTCGGGAACTGAGGCAGCAGCAGGAGGTGGAGAAGGCCGTGAGGCGCGTCCTGTTTGCAATCGTAGAGCTAACAGCCGCTAGACAGTTCCATCTGCCCCCGCCAAGTGTCAGCCACCACCTTTACGGGTAAAAGCCAACACAGGCGGCTACAGGCAGAACGTGGGGGAGATCTGAGAAAGCACAAAGGGGCTGGGAAAGATTATATATACACAGCCAAGGCCGCGCACACGTAGATGAAGCAAAAGCCCTAAAATGACAAAGATGAATAGGCACAGAGACCCACAACCGTATGGAAAACAGGGAATGAGAAGCAATGACAGCAGCACTTCCTACACTAGACCAAACGTCACGCAGAAGAGCAGCTGGGGCCTTCAGAATTTCATTTGTTTCCACACAAAGGCTTACATAGCACCTAGGTCAAGATAAAGACACGTATTGATAGCCTGCAGCGAGCACAGTACACCTCTGCACGGGCGTTGTTCGGGTAGTTTTGGTATTTCTTTGCTGCGGGCAGCAGCTACATTGTTGCCCGTTGCTGTAACAACCCTTGCTGTATGTGCTACAGGTACGATCTTGTTCTCAGCAGCAACCAGGCGTCTCTCCTGGGGGACTGGGCTCTGCAGCTTCCCCAATCCGTGCGCCTTTTATAATGCCTGATATCGCCAATGCGTGTTTAAATACAGCTTAGCACTGACAGAACTAGAGTCAGAGCTGGGAGGATGCTGATGAAACATAAAATCCGCGCAACAAGTTAAATTTAAGGCATAAGTCCTCTTGTTGCTCTTTAGTCTATGCTTATAAAGGCACTTTGCCAGTGCCCACTAGAGCTCACAGTCCACTCGTCTGCGGTAGCCGCATTGTCTACCCTAGCCTGGCGAGTTGTGGCGTCTTCTACACGCCTCCGTCGGCCTTTGATGCCAGTCTCTAGCTTTAACTTGTCAATCACTACCCACAAATCTGTTTTGGTCTTAAACTGCTCTTCTGGTCGTACCTCTTGCCCGATGCAGCCACTTGCTACCAAAAGTGCCTACACTGCACGGGGGCCTGCGCTGCCTGCCGCAGCCGCAGCAACGGCTACACTTCAGCAGTGGCCCTATCCAGTACGGGACAAGCAGCCGCAGCGGTTGCTGGAGCAACAACTACACATTACGGACGCTGCAGCAGGAAATCGTGACCCGCCACTGCTCATGAAGCAAAACTTATATGCTGCTCCGGCTGTAGCAAACAAACATTCGTTTTTGCCAGTGGTGCAGCAATGTTCACGCTGCCGCTGCAGTAATGTTGCCGCACCAGCTAAACCAAAAGCAATAGGTGTATCCTTCACCGGACGGCGGCGGCGCCGCTCTGTCGCTGCGCTCTCAGTGCTGGCGTAGACTCTCCCTGTCAAGGGGCCCTTGAATTTGTCTAGACTTTCGCAGAATCACTAGCGAAGAACCAGACAACAAGCCCTGACTTAAATTATGGGGGACTCCAGCTCTTGGGTTGCAGTCACAGTTCCAGCCCGCGCTGCAGGAGGAACTCGTAGGAACCCAAACGAAGAGCCATAATAAGTAGCAACCAAGCTATGGCCACGCAACCCGCGAGCCACAGTACTCCGAAGAGTTAAGGAAAGCTATGCACTGTTTCCCTTCTCTAAGCAGCATCGCCTGCCAACCGTGGATACTCCTGCTACTGCTGCGGCTACGCTGAGGCCGAGACATCCTCCGCCATGGCCGCTGCTTCAGGTGCGTCCCCATCAAGCTCAATGTCGGCGCCGTCCCCACCTTCGACGGAAGCGCCGGGGGCAGCAGGAGTAGCAGCAAGGGCAGCAGCGCCAGCAGCTGGGTCCGTTGTGGCACCATCTGCAGCAGGCGGGAGTGTCAAGGATGGAAGCTCCTGCTGCTGCGCAGCCGCCTGCCTCCTTTTCAAGGAGGGCGGAGTCGACGGCAGTGTAAAACTCAGAGCAGCAACAGCAGCATTCTGCTGCGCCGTCGAAGCGCCACCTCCCGGATTTGGCGCTGTTTCTGACGGTGCGGCAGTCTCTGAAGAGAGATAGCACAAGGCACAAAAGCAATGCACGCCTGCCCAGAAAGGATCTAAACAACAGTTATTCGGACAAAACTGCAGTCTCAATGGATCGATTCACAAAACTGCCACCGAAAAAAAGATAACGTACGGCTGTCCTTCGTCCAGACTTTATTCCTAAATAGTCCATCTTCTCCTAGCTCCCCCATCCATCCCTGGTGGCAGCATCATCCCTCCAGAACACAAAAATGCGAGTATCATCGAGAAGGCGAGAAGAAACAATGGAAACAGAATCCAGCAAAATGCAATGAAACAGAATGCAGCACAGATGAACATAGTTCGGTGCTGAATTTCCCAGAAACAAAAAAAAATAGAAGACTGATGAGGAACACAGGAAATGAGGCTCGCTGGGCAACTTCTATGTTCCGTTCGCCCGTTTCGAGCCAAAAAGCTTACCGGTCTCTCAGGATGCTGGAAATTGCAGCTAGGATTTTGGCAGTTCTGCCCGTAACGACACTTGACAGGAGGATGCAAGTAAAAGCAAGAAGCGCCAAATGGGCAACGTGGGAAGTTGGCACAGCGAATTGCAGGGTGAATGAAGTTGCACTTCGGACCAAATGGGCAATCAGGCCAGCGAAGACACCGGCGGCGGACCTGAAAACACCCGAAAACAGCAAAAACGAGCTGCTCAGAGCTGTTGCTGCATGCAAGAACTTGCGGCTTCGCAGCTGGTGGATCCAGCGACGAGCTCACTTTGGCTTGCGGAAACGTCGAGCCGGCCAGGTGCGGCGCGTGCTGCGGCTGCTGCGGCTGCATCGGCATCCGCTGGTGAGGGTTCGCTTGCTGCGGAGGAAGCATGGCGTGCACAGATGGCCCAGCAGCAGCAGAAGCAGCATGCACTGGGAAGGGGGGCTCCCCGACAGGCCCGTGTTCCGCAGCGAGGAAAGCTTCCACAAACCGAGGGTTTGGCCTGCGCAGCGCAAAGTTAGCGGCGAAAGATGCAAGTGAGGACAGAGTAACAAGCAAGCCGCAACACAAGCAGCGCGAAACCAAATAACCTAACGGGCAAAGCTGAAAGCGCGAGGTGACAGCCAATGCAGCGAAATCGCCTCAGGCAGCGGCAAACAACTAGTGTGTGAACAACAAGAAAAGAACAAAAAGAGGGAAGATAGCTGGCCGTCAGAATACTCACTTCAAAATGGCTTTTGGCCCACGCTGCAGCCCTGCCTCCGGCGCTGAGATATCCGCTGGCGCCGTCGCCGCGACAGGCAAGAGCGGCATCTGTTGCGGCATCTGTTGCTGCTGCAGCAGTTGCTGCTGCTGCATGAGCTGCTGATGCTGCTTCGCCTGCTGAACCTCGAAAGTTGTGGGTTTCGGCTGCGACCGGTAGACTTCCCCAGCAGGAACAGAGCCTGGTGTCTGCTGCTGCTGCTGCTGCTGTTGCTGCTGTTGCTGGGCATGCGCGGCAGCAGCAGCACTCCAAACAGAGCCAGGAGGAGGTGAGGGAGTGCTCCTTTTGCTGTTGGTGCTTCCCATGATGTAGATAGAACGCGACATGGGGGGAGTTTCGCTACTCCCGTTGCTGCTGCTACGACTCCTGCTGCGGCTCCTGCTGCGACTCCTGCTGCGCCGGCCTCGCAGAGGCGACCGGTGCGACCTTCCGCTGCGCAAGCCGCCGCTGCGGCTGCTCACGGCCTGCAGCAAAGTTCTAAACAGCAAAGCCACTTCCTGAGATCCGGCAGAAGCAGCTTGAAGGCATGTAGACATGCAATCAGAGCAAAAGAAACTAAGACAGCCGAGAGCGTTGAGACCGCCAAGCTAGCGTAGGCAGCTCCAGTGCAGCACGAAGAGGAAACAAACTGAATGCTCACAGCAAGACTCAACATGTAACAAATTTACAAAAAAAGCTATAGCATATATGAATTGGGGAGACTGCATACAGAGATAACCATCACAAGAGTACATAGGAATGCAGCAAAAACAGCGTAGGCGCTTCCCGCCGGAGGATCACAAGCGCAGCTCAGTAGACGCGACAACGGCCAAGGCACGAAGAAAGCAGCTTCCTTCTGCTGCTGCTGCTGCTGCTGTGCTGTAGGCTTACGGCTTGCTCTGCCGCACGCATAAGGATGAGTCGGCGAGAAATCGCTGCAACAACAAAACGCCCGGGACACTGAGACAAAGAAGATGGGTAAAAACGCCATGAGGCTGCACCTGCTGCTGCTGTTCGAGCTGCTGCTGCTGCATGCGTTGCAACCCACTGTCACTTCGAGAGACGCGGCCCTCCACTCGCGACGAGTCGTGCTGCGAGCTACTGCTGTATCTGTGGCTGCTGCTGCTGCCATGTCTGCTGCTGCCGCTGCCTTGCTTGCTACTGCTGCTGCCGCCCGCCCCTCGTGACGTGCCGTCGTTTGTGCTCGAATGCTTGGCGCTGCTACTGCTACTGCTGCCGTGCTTGCCGCTGCTGCTGACATGCTTGGACCTGCTGCTGCTGCGGCGTCTCCCGCTGCTGCTGCCGCAGGCAGCGCTCTGTTGCTGCAGCTCTCGCTGAAGCCAACGAGTGAAGTCGTCAGCCTGCAGCGATACCCCAAGTCAACAATAATCCCAGTTGGCAGCACATAAACCCTGTGGCGCAAGAAGCTAATCCGTCACAAGTGCCAACAAGACTCGCAGCAGCATAGGCGACATCAGCAAGCCTGCTCACTGGCTGCCCTAAGAATTCCTTTAGTTCCTCCAACAGACGGTCTGTCGGTGCCTTCTCCCTCAGCAGCAAATGTAGAATGTACTCGGCAAGAATTTGTGCATCATCGGCATCATCCTCCGTCTTGCTCCCGCTGTTGCTGCCGTGGTGGCCGTTGCTGCTGCTGTTGCCTTCGTTTCCCCCACCGCTGGGAGTCAGGTACGACACGCGCAGCTCCTCTGCTATTCGTTGCTGCAGCCGTTTGGGGGCCCCGCTGCTGCTGTTCGCAATCGCCGCTGCGGCACCGGCCATATCAAAGCCGTTACGGGTAAAAACCTCCGCTGTCATTCTGGCTGTTGCTGCTGCTGCTGCTGCCACTGCCTTCTGCTCACTGTGACAATTATGACGATGCAACGCCTGGGGGTCCACGAAGAGCAACAAGACAAGCGACGAGTGATCCAAAAAGAAGAATGGTCCGCAAGAGCGCAAACGTGAAAGGCTGCTGGTGTTCCTGCTGTTCCTGCTGCCTCTGCCGCCGCCTCTCCTGATGCTCCTGTTATAACGGGCCGCGACGCCAAAAATGAATATGTGCTACTGAACGCGCGCGCCGTAGCTCTCAGGTGCACAGACACTCTGTTTTAATCCTATATCCCTACTCGGAGAAGTTCACTCCCGCGACCTATGCGGAAGCTGCTGCCGCTGCGGCTGCCGCTGCTCCTATTGCTGCTCCACCACTGCTGGTGCTGCTGATGCTGCAGCAACCGCCAAGCGAAGTACAAAGAAAGGAAGCAATTAACATGCAAAGGTCCTGGGGCAGATAAAATGCTGCGCGCAGCACCTGATGGTGATGCTGCTGTTGCAGTAGCCCGCCCATGCGGTGCTGCTGCTGGTGTTGCTGCTGCAGCAGCCTCTCGGCTGCTGCTGCTGCTGTTGCCGGAGGATTCCTTAACGAATCCCTCGAGTTGTTTCACATTTGCACAGCCACTTGGGGGGAAATTCGTGATTGTTTGCGCGTATGTTATTCCTGCTACTACTGCCGCTGTTGCAGCTCCGTGAATACCGCCGCCCCGCAACGCTCACCCACAGCAAGACGCAGCGGGGTATTTTTGATGCTTGCACAGTTTTCTGCCTTCGAAATTACTGTGTCACGCCCAGTGGCGATCCCGATAGGCTCTACTATTGCGGCTGCTCGTGCTTGCGTTGCAGTTTTGCCCATGGGCTTCGGACGCTGCATGCAATGCAGCTTCACGCTTCCTGTTAAAGCTGCGTCGTGATGGACTAGTGGTTTGCTCGCAGTGAGACTATGCGAACAATGAGGAATATGGCATATAGGCATACAGGGGCCTGTGGCTGCTGCAGCTGCAGCTAGTCACAGTGGGCTCTTTGTCCTGGGTGCCTTCGTCTTCAATGGGCACGTCCAAGCGATGAATGCGCTTCGGGCCAAGGCTAAAACTCGTGTATGAATATACTACAAGTGCGCTTAGCGTAGCTTTTTGTCTTCAAAGGCCGTAGGCGTGGAATGCTCCTGCGATGAATGCAGGTACGGGAGGTATGGCATGGAAGTTGGGAAGGCATGTTTGACGTCTAGGGAAGAAAAAGCTGGATATTTTGTTTCTCAGTATGTCTTATATTTGATATGCCTGTTTGGAGCTGTAGAGGAGTGAGCAAAGCTGGTTCCCAGCTGTTGCTTCGGGTCGTCGTTGGCACAGTAGCAGGCAGCAAGAGGGTTATTGCGCCGCTAAACTGAATATAAAAGCTCCAAAAATCCCTCTACAAGAGTGCGATTAGCACAAATGGGGCATCCGGGGAACTAGAAAGGTTTTTTGAAGGAAAAGAAGCTGACTAGTGCCATGTATGTATGTTCACAAAGGGACAGCTCACAGAGTTGTGGCCTCAACGAGGCAGCGCTAGACAGAAACATTTATATCTTATACGGCGTCCTTAAGCATTAGCGTCGTCCAATGATTAACGTAGAAGCAACGTGAAGTCTTTTCCCCCGAAGCTGTGGGCTGCGAGTGCGGAACAGGAAGCAGGGCTGCGAGTGTTAAACAGGAAGCAGGGCTTACAGTTGCAACGCTAGTCCCACAATAAACAGCTTCAGCATCCCAAAGAAGATGCTGAAGTTGTGATGCCGGCACTGCCTTGCGTATACATTTTCTAGATGCGCTGCCTGGCTAGTCGTTGCCCCAAAAGCAAACCCACTAGAGATCCTTAAGCAAGCCTTTTCATGATGCCAATGTCGGTTCCCTTTCTCCGCGCGGTGCTTTTTGCACAACGGAGGGGCCTACTCGTTTACTGTGATAAGCACCAAAGATAAGCTTCTTCAGCCACTTCAGTAACGTACACAAGCACTGGGAGAGCCTGGCATGCGCCTTTCTTGAGAACGTTACGTACATAATTTCTGCTTATATCAGCGAGATCGTGTGTCGCTGTTTTGGTTGTTCGTCTACTCATTTCCCAAGGATGATAAACGGAAGAGATTGCGCATGAAATGCTAAGCCGATCACAGAGATACTGCTACACGTCGAATTGAAAATGACGGCGTCCACAGGAAGTGAACGCTTTAAGGAAACTATGATTGCGAATAAAACGGTCGACAAAAGGTGGCAGCTGCCGTCGACAACGCCTTCCTGCAAATGAAGTATGCTCTTTTGCGTAGAGAATCACCAGGCGCCGAAATGAAGTCATTATAGGAGATAGAGAGACAAACGTCAGCTTTTAGATTTGTACCGACTTGAATCCAACGGCGAGAGGGAATGACCGGCTGCTGAAGAAATCCTCGACTTCCAAGTGAGTTATGAAGAGGCATGAGCCTGAATGCAGGGCTTCACACATGCTTCCGTACAAGCAAGCATGCCCGGACAACACTGTTGTCTGTTGAGGGCTAGGTAGGCCTCTTTATGAGCAGTGATGGTCTGCTGTCATGTGATCGTGGTGGTTGCAGAGCACGCGACAAAGAAACTCAGAACTAGGTGGTACACAGATTCGCCACATAACGTGATACAAATCCGCATGTAAGGCAATTCAAAATGAAAAGTTGAGGGGAGCTTGGAAATTAACTCTGATGGCTTCGCCATCTTGATTGCGAGTGCTCTCGAAACTAGGGCTCTCTCGAGAATGTCTACAGTGTCAAACAAGCCACTGCGAGGAGGCAGGGTCGGGTACTAGATTTATCGAGACAGCACATCCACTACGTGAATATCTTTACCTGACAATAATTTGACTGTAAGGTTTTGTGACTCCGCGATAAAACAGCCGCGCCACCATGCAGATGAGATGCAACTGCTCTTCAACGGCAACAGGTAAGCAGGAGTGCTCATGCTGGCGGCGCGCTCACAGCCCCAGCCACTAAACTGCGGCCGGGATACGTAATGCATCTTTCCCCAGAAGCGCGTCGAAATCAAGTCCAAGCATCTCGAAGATAAAACTAGCTGTCTTCCTCGCGCTGCGTACTAGCCTCCAGCTTTCCGCTAACAACTTGGTATGCAGTTACCTGCGTTACCACTGCGGAAATACTTTCAGCGCATCGCAGTGGGAAGTGTAGTGCGCGGCGCCTACGGCTGCGACTACGCTGTTTCCTGTCCCTCTACAGGTCTACATTCTACACCTAGATTAGTCCCATTTCTCGGCCTCTACCGCTTTATTCCGTCGACATACGACAATTCAAGAAGTCTGTGTGTTCTCTGTCTTCGATTCGCTCCCTTCTAGGAGATTACCCCCTAGAGCCTAGGGGGGGAGGTCGCATTGGTGCCGGCGCTATCGCCAGCCCCAGTCTCCACACGATTTCTGCACAATTCACATTTTTCACTAGAACTCACTAACGGTATTGGGGGGGATCCTGTCCCCCTCCAGTGTCGCGGCCCCTTGCAGGTCGCTAGCTAGCTATCATCCCTAGGACACTAGTCGGCCCCATTGTAGTGTCTCAGCACTACAGGAAATCTCACGTGGCTTGTACACCTCCTCCTCTTCCTTAGACTGAGCGCTAAAAATCACGGAAGGTGCCTTCATCTCCAGTGAGCTCTGCTTCACCTTTTCAATATATGCCTTCGGCACTGCTCTGGGCCAGATCTGTGTTATCGTTTTACCTCGCTAAAACAGCCTTTTCGCTCTTATGGGCTAGGCGTTGATGGAATTTGGTCTTCTGGCAACAGCACACGCCATCAAAACACACGATGCCATCCGTGTTGCTGGTC